TGGGTATTTATATCAGTATGGTCGCTTACCACACACATAACAAATGCAAATATTGTCAAGATTCGTAAAGACTCATCAGTGACCCGTTATTAACCACATTGATACTTTCTTTCAACTTGAATTTTACCACATGCACAAAACATCATATGTGAAAGTTATCACAAAACACCTTGATATAATCAGAAGCATGGAAAACGCACAACATAAGTTGTTTATATCATACTTAGGGCTTCCGTATTTAGATCTCGTACAAATACTCGGGGGACTTGAATGTAATTATGTAATAAAGGAATGGGCAAATATGTAATAAGTGAGGAGTCCTTATTCTATAAAAGGACCCTTCACCCTCACAATTAGAGGAGGCCAATTCCTAGGCCATCAGAGACCTCACTCTCTCCCTCAAAGGCTTTGAATCTCTCTCCCTCACTCCCCTCACATCTCAGATAAATACATAATCAGTGTGGACGTAGCCCAAACATTGGGGTGAACCACGATACATCTTGTGTTATTTACATTACTTGCAGATTCACGGTCGGATTTACGTTGTTCCAAGACCTCTGGTTTTGTGCATCAACATAAGTCATCTTTAATTTTGATAAATTTGATGTGAAATTCTTGTACTCTTCAACATGTATAGGGATGGACTTTTTGCGAATATGGTGGGATTCAATTTCAATGGGATTTATAATATTGCCGAGTGGTTTGAGTTTACTTAGGAGATAAATGTAGCCGACTTTGTTATGTCTAAAAGTGGTGGTCGTAATTTTAAAGTGGTTTTTTTTTTTTGGAAACACGTAATTTTAAAGTGTTAGTTGTCTGCTGTATTTACTCGTCAAGTGAACAAACTACTGCAAATGTATGACTCGTCCATTTAAAACTACTATGTCATTCACTACTTTCTTAGCTTCATCTGAAATCAGTTTCTCTGAACATTATCTCTCTCTCCAATATTGCGTACATACTATCTGAAAGAAGCCTCTCCCCTCGATCGATCCTGCAACAAACTTGCCGAAGCACAAATTATTAACAAATGATGAGTGTTACAAGAATATAGATTACAATTGAAGAAAAAAAATCTTAAGATATTAATCACAACTAATTAATTACTACTTGCATATATAATCATATCATATTTTATTCTTAATGCATTATTGATTAATTGAATAGTTGTAATCATAACCAAGAAGTAATTATTATAAATATATTGGATGGTATTTGTCCTTTCATGTTCATCTCTCTCTCTCTCTCTCTCTCTCTCTCTCTCTCTCTCTCTCTCTCTACACCTTCCCGGCCAGCAGTATGTTGTTTCTCAAGTTCATATGTCAAAATTATTATATTATAAACTTTATTTTTGTTGACCAAAGGAGCTTGACTTGCTGCAACACAACCACTACCATGATTCGATCAATTTGTGATCATTTCCTTCATCTCTCTCTCTCTCTCTCTCTCTCTCTCTCTCTCTCTCTCTCTCACTACACCTTCCCGGCCAGCAGTATGTTGTTTCTCAAGTTAATATGCCAAAATTATTATATTATAAACTTTTATTTTTGTTGACCAAAGAAGCTTGACTTGCTGCAACCCAACCACTACCATGATTCGATCAATTTGTGATTAACAAAATACATACATACATGGCCCTGGTAATGTTATCTCCAGTCTTTCAAAAAAAAAAAAAAAAATACATACATACATATATATATATATATATAAGTCCTTAACAACAAGGCATGTAAAAGAACTTAACATAGATTTAACCCTTTTATGGCACAATCATTTAATTAAGAAGCTCAATTTACTTATGGCGTATGTTTACAATCTTACAATCTTTCTGTTGGTCTGAGCTAACAGTGACACGTCTGACACTAACAACTAACTCACTTAAAAGAGCCTAATGCCTACTCAAGATCTCCAAAAGATTTTTAAACTGACAAAGAGTTCCAACACTCTAATGGAGAATTGTGGCATCCAACAATTTCTTTGTCTCCCGATTATTCATCTACTTGCTCAGGCCACATTTAGCTTGACACCTGACTCTCTTGGCATGGGCAAAGACTCACTAATCCACTCCAATTAATTTATCACAAAATCTAGGATAATTAATTCATTACACTCAAACAACACCTCACCTGACACAATCATCTTTAAAGACTCACGAATCCACTCCAATTGGAATTACTTCAAAATTCTTTTATTTCATAGCTTTTTGCCCAAAGTAGATCCACATGTTCTTCAATTGAAATATAAAACAAAGTATCAAAATCCTCCCAAAATAACTAATAAATTATAAATAAGATTAGTGGGAACAAGAGAGATTTGTATTTTCTTTTTTATAACATGTTGGGGTCCTCTTTTTCCGATTTAATGTGTCCCATTATTTGTTCTTCTGGAGTAATTGAGAACAAGAGAGATTCGTGGGATCTGTTTAATGTTGAAATGTTGATTTTTGAAAATCTGGGGAGGGATTCGTGGGAGAGGGATTTGTTCTAGATTGCCCACAACCTTCGTAAAGAAACAACTTTGAAATGCTGATTTTTTTTATGTACCATACATTTTTCTATACTACAGATCCGATTGAAAATGATTGATTCTGAAGAAGCAATTAATATCAACAATGATGACTCGAACGAATTCGATTGTACACTGAGGTAAGACAGTTGAAAATCTTTCATTTTTTATGTTGTACAATTGGATAATGAATAGCAAATAACCAATATATTCTGGGTGGATGCTAAAATGATAAGTGACTGGTCATTTTGGAGATGTTGTTTCATTTGACACTACCTATAAAACTAATCGAGCAGGTGGTCCGTTTGTTGTGTTTTCTGGCTTGAATCATGATTGAGAAATTGTAGTTTTTGGGGCAACATGTTGGACATTGCTACCAAAAAAGTTTCAAATAACTAAATAAACGATGGAGCAGTTTCATCGTACATCAATGCTGCCCCAAAAACTACAATTTCTCGATGATGATTCAAGCCAAAAAACATAGCAAACGGACGACCTGCTCGATTAGTTTTATAGGTAGTGTCAAATGAAACAACATCTCCAAAATGACCATAGTCACTTATCATTTTAGCATCCGCCCAGAATATATTGGTTATTTGCTCTTCATTATCCAATTGTACAGCATAAAAAATGAAGGATTTTCAACTGTCTTACCTCGGTGTACAATCGAATTCGTTCGAGTCATCGTTGTTGATATTAATTGCTTCTTCAAAATCAATCATTTTCAATTGGATCTGCTGTATAGAAAAATGTATGGTATAGAAAAAAAATCAACATTTCAAAGTTGTTTCTTTACGGAGGTTGTGGGCAATCTAGAACAAATCCCTCTCCCACAAATCCCTCCCCAGATTATCAACATTTCAACATTAAACAGATCCCACGAATCTCTCTTGTTCTCAATTACTCTAGAAGAACAGATAATGTGACACATTAAATCGGAAAAAGAGGACCCCAACATGTTATAAAAAAGAAAATATAAATCCAATAGCAAAAACAAGCAAAGAAAATTAACATAAACTGACCTGGGAAGATTGGAAGGAGGTGACGGGAAAGGCAGCATAAAAGTTGAAGAGGCGGGAGAGTGAAGATTAGGAAAAGTGGATGAGGCGGGAGGCTTTAAAGATGATTTGGAGCTGTTGGTGAGGTGGCAAAATCTGGAGTATTAAATGAAATCAATGGCTAGAAAAGTAGGAGGGTATGGAAGGGCATGGTAACTAGGAGGGCTGACAATCCAGGTCCGATACCACTCACCAAAGTGCAAAATCATCAGCGTACATTTTTGTGCTTCTTTTAAAGCCCCTCAGTAAGATTTCAAACTTTACTTCCAATTGTATCTTCTCTCTGTTTCTTTGCTTTCAAAAAGTCTCAGTTTTTTGTGCTCCTCCAGCCCACCAAACACAGTACTAATATATATATATATATATTTGTATATGCACCTTCTTTAGTTTCTTTGTCAATTATATAATCTCTCTGTTAATATTAAAAAAACATTTGATTTAGTAACTTAATCTCAACTATTGTAATGCAGTTCAAGATTTCTATGTTAATTTAGTTTAATATTAAATAAATGGTTTGCACAGCTAATTGCATGTAGTTCTCTTTATCTCTATTCTCCTCATCGATGCAAATGAATGTAAAGATTTTTTTTCTCCCATTTTCATTATGCCCAATTTCAAATTGAAATATATTTATCTTTCTTTTGAATAGGACTTCAACCTACTAATTTTTTCCTGAAATTATAGCCTCTTAATCGATAGAAAAAATAAATGGTGAATATAAGAACAAACTCATTTGTGCTAATTTTGTTCTCTTTATCTCTATTCTCCTCATCGATGCAGAGGAATGTTTATTTTTTTTTCCTCCCATTTTCATTATGCACAATTTCAAATTGAAATGTATTTATTTACCTTTCTTTTGAATAGGACTTCGACCTACTAATTTTTCTCCTGAAATTAATCGATAGAAAAAATAATTGGTGAATATAAAAACAAACTCATTTGTGCTAATTTTTTAAAGCTTAATAAGATTTACAAAACCCTGTATTTTAAAAAATAGTTATTTTTGAGTTTTGTGGGCTATCATCTCTTACCGATTGTCAACAACCTTCCATGGGACCTTCGCTTCCCATTTATCTCTCTTGGAGTTCAATAAATTATAGACTACAACGCAAGTAAAAAACTAATCCAAAAGCTTTAAAAATTTGAACGTTTGATAATTTGCTTTCCAAAATTCTGAGTATGTCTGTACTTTTGTGAATCCTTACATTCTTTATTACGTTCTTAAATTTTTTTTACCACAATGTGTTACATATTTCTGATTACTAAATCAAATCATCACCGTTCAATTTGACAGGAAAAAGAATTCTAACATTATTCTTATGATTCGCAGATGTGTGATGATTCTCAATGTACTTGACAGGAAAAAGAATTCTATACAAATTTCAATGCACTTGACACTCACTTCAGGGTCATTGGCATTGACTGGACAAGGTGCGCAAATTCTTATCAATACCTTCTCTCATTGTTTAGTTTTTTTATAAAACATCATAACTCCAAATGAAGCCATAAAACATCATAACTCCAAACCAATAACCAGTTTTATTTATAATACAACATTTAGACTTTGGTGGATTGTTGGTGTAGTGTTTTTTACAGTAATTAGGACTAATATAAATTAAAGGCTCATTTGGTAACGTTTTACTACCGGTTTAAAAATCAAAACAACAAAAATAGAACTTTACATGTTTAATTAAAATCTCAAAACGACAAAGTTGCATGACTTTGACTCTGCACTAGTTTATATGTACTTGAATATTATTATACTAAATTGGATTGTCTCTGCAACTTCAATTTTGTGCAACTCTCCGTTCCCGGGACTCGGTCATATCTCAAGTTTTTTACGTGAAGGCTATATTATTAAGATTTCGACTCGGGTATTTATTTCGGTATTATTTTTGGTAGCTTACCCACACGCACATAACAAATGCAATATCGTAAAAGGTTCATACAGACTGATCAACGACTCATCATTAATCAAACCAATATTTTCTCTCAGCTTGAATCTTACCACATGCACATATCATATGTGAATGTTTTATCATAAAATACTTAGGTATAATTAGAAGTGGAAACCGCACAATATAAGTTATCTTTAATTTTGTCAAATTTTATGTGAGATTCTTGTACACTTCAACATGTATAGGGATGGACTTCTTGTGGAAATGGTGGCATTTATCTCATGGTATTTATAATATTCCTGAGTGGTTTGAGTTTGCTTATGAGTGAAATGTTGCTGACTCTGTTATACATGAAAATGATGATCGTAATTTTAAAGAGTTGGTTGTCTGATGCATTTATTCGTCAAGTGAACAACCTGAAGGTCCTCATGAGGTTATTGTTATAAATAGAGTAAACTGTCATTTAACCCCCTAAACTATCACGTGAGTTTCAATTTCCCCCTGAACTATTTTTTCAGCCAATTGACCCCCTAAACTATGTTAAAGTGGCCAATTAACCCCCTACCGTTAAGTATCTTTAACTCCATCCAATTTTTTGTTAGAAAGTGTCATGTGCTTGGCACATGACCACCTTTTTACATTTTATGTCTAAATCTTTACAAAGAAAACATATAAAACAAGCATACTACTTTGCACACCTTGATAACATTTACCTCAGTGCTACCAAAATCTCATGAATGCGAAAGCGATTATCTTTGGCAAGGAGACATATTGCAGAATAAAACCTAGTGCGAAAAAATTTAATGTATATGTTCTTGGAGAAAATTAATGTATAAAAAGCAAAATTAAAACATAAAGTTACTAACATTGGTTGGGAATAAATGTAATATGAGGTAGATCTTAATTGAACAGGAGCCTTTTCCTTCACGTGAGCCTTTTCCTTGTGTTCAGATATTCTTGAAGAAAAGCAAACATGAGTCTTTCGTGTTCCTTTCTTTCCTCTTTTCCTCTCTGTTTCCTTGCACCTTCCTGCCCGGTAGTGTGTGGTTTCCCAAGTCCATACACGAACATTATTATATTATAAACTTTTGCTTTTGTTTATTGAAGGATCTTGACTTGTGTTTAGGTATCATCCTTCGGCAACACAAACACAACCACTGCCATTTTTTCAGTCTCTGATCTGAACCAGTGCAGTGTCATAATGGTGGATACCGCCATGACAGCGCACGAAGCCTCTTGTTCGTCCTCCTCCAAGTCAAAACTTTGGAGTTACGACGTGTTCTTGAGCTTTAGCGGCGAAGACACGCGCAATGGCTTCACCAGCCACCTCCACGAGGCGTTAAAATACAGAGGATACCATGTCTTTATTGATGAGGACGGTCTAAAAAGAGGGGAAGAAATAAGAGGGGAACTGTTTCGGGCAATCGAAGAGTCGAGGATCTCTATCATTGTCTTCTCAAAGATGTATGCGGATTCGAGTTGGTGTCTTGACGAGCTGGTGAAGATCATGGAGTGCAGAGACAAACTGGAGCGACATGTTTTGCCAATATTCTATCACGTTGATCCTTCGCATGTCAAGAAGCAGGACGGAGATTTTGCCGAAGCATTTCATAAACACGAAAAGGACATCCGTGAAGAAAAAGATGACGAGAAACGTGAAGCTAAACAAACAAGGGTAGAGCAGTGGAAAGGGGCTCTCACAAAAGCTGCAGATTTGTCTGGCCACCATCTTAAATCCAGTAATAATAGGTAATCATTAAGCTGCTGTTCAAGATTTAAGTTGTATTACTCTAATTAACATGCTTAATTAGTACACCTTAATCTCTCACGTTGATCCTTCACATGTCAGGAAGAGGCAGAGAGATCTTCATACTGAAGCTGCAAATTTGTCTGACCACCAAACAACTGACAACGGGTAATCTTTCACTTGCGTTTCAAGATTTGAAACATTTTAGTGAATGACTTAATCTCTCAATTAATTAACATGCTCAATTAACATTTTACATAATCCAAACATTGATTCACAGGCTTAATGAATACACTTTAATCTTTCATATAAAACCGAAACCGTTATTGGAGTTTAATTCATACACACCTAACTTTTATTTATCAATGAATGACTTTCTTTTATTCAAGTCGCATGCTATTTAGTTGCTAGTTAGTGTATATATATATAGGAAAGGGGTGTGATATTCACACACCCCATTTTATTTCTCACATATCTTTTTAGTTTTCGGCCTTCTGATCGGATGAATTGAAGAAGATCAACGGACATAAATTATTTAGGGGTATGTGAGGAAGTAAAATGGGATGTGTGGATAACACACTCCTATAGGAAAAATTAGGTTTTCATCTCTTATTTTTATATTGCATCGATTGAAACTTTATTGTTTTTCTATTTTTGATCAAGTTTCTTCGACCTTGTCCAAATCATCATTTTAGAATTTGAAAAATTACACGTCAACACTTTGCTAATTATTTATAGTTTTTAGTTAAAGTGTTAGCCCTATTTTTGTTGAAATTAACTTGGGTGAGATGGGAGTTGTCTTGGCTGTCTTGGCTCTAGTGCCACTGCACTAGGCCCCCATCCTCATATGGGCACTATATTTTATTGTAGACATTTTTTTAAGTCTTATAATCTGTAAGATATGTAGATCTTTGATTCCAATAAATTTTGGGAATTTTAAATTTCATAAGTTTTTAGATTTGATCTTGGATTTAAATCCTTTAAATCCGTGAGATATAAATTACATTAATTATTTGATTTAAATCCCTTAAATGTTGTTAATTATAGCCATTTTCAACAAGACAAAGTGTTTTAAATGTTGGACTCAATCAACAATTTTTAATTTAAAATACAAAAAAATGACATGGAAATATAATAAATACTAAAATGGTGAGGTGTACAAATCAAAGACTTTGATCAAAAATTGAAAAACTATAAGGTTTTAATCTAACAATTGAGATGACCAAAGGACCAAAACCAAAATGACCCATATATGAAGAAAAGAAAGAAAATTGTTTATGTACTGATATCTCCTACAAAGCCTCATTGAGTCACACTAATGCTTACAAATTCAATTTTCAGGCGCGAAGCAAAGTTCATTAAAAAAATTGTTGACGACAATATTTGGGAATGGCTCCCCAGAACAAACGAATTAAATGTGGCGAAGCACCCAATTGGAATCAAATCTCGCATTCAAGGTATTATCAGTGATCTTTCAAGTGGTGGATCAAATGATGTTCTCATGGTTGGAATTTGGGGGATGGGTGGATTGGGTAAAACAACAGCTGCCAAAGCCATTTATAACCAAATTCATCTTACGTTTGAATTCAAAAGTTTCCTTGCCGACGTTAGCGATGCTACAAGTAAACATGGTCTGGTTTATTTGCAAGAAAAACTTATTTCTGACATCTTAAAACAAAAGTCTGAATTAAGCAGTGTTGATGAAGGTATCAGTTTGATAAAACAACATCTCCAACGTAGAAGGGTACTTGTCATCATCGACAATATAGATGACCTGAAACAACTTGATGCAATAGCTGTAAGTCACAATTGTTTTGGTCCAGGAAGTAGAATTATTATAACGACACGAAATGAACATTTGCTAAAGCAAGTGGAAGTGGACAAGACATATCCGCTTCGAGAAATGAAAAAGAGAGAAGCTTTGGAGCTCTTTAGTTGGCATGCCTTTCGAAAAAGTTACCCTAATGAAGAATATCTTGAAGTCTCAGAAAAGGTTGTTTCTTACTGTGGAGGTTTGCCACTAGCCCTTGAAGTTTTAGGTTCTTTTTTGTTTAGAAGACCTATTGCAGAGTGGAAAAGTCAATTGAAGAAATTGGAAAGAACTCCTAAAGGAGAAATAATAAAACCACTAAGAATAAGCTTTGAAGGGCTAGATGATACAGAGAAGGCTATATTCCTTGACATATCTTGTTTCTTTATTGGAAAGGACAAAGACTACGTCGCAAAAGTATTAGATGGATGTGGATTTTTTGCAACAGGAGGAATCGGTGTCCTCCGTGAACGATGTCTTGTAACTATTGAAGGCAACAAGTTGACTATGCATGATTTGCTTCGAGAAATGGCCAGAGTAATCATTTCTGAAAAATCTCTTGATTGCCCTGGAAAATGGAGTAGGTTGTGGAATCGTCAAGAGGTCACTGATGTATTGACAAATAAATCTGAGTTTATTCCCAATAAATTTTGGATTTATGCATCATACAAGAAAAGCATAGATGTAACCCGGGCAAGTCAATTATACATTAAACAACATTCGTGTGTAAATATATTCACCGTGCGTGGTTTTGCGTAATGAATAATAATAATACATATAAACATATGCAAATATACCGTTTCTTACCACTATAACTTTTTTTTTGTTAACAGGGAACTGGAGAAATTGAAGGACTTGCTCTATATTTCCTTGAAGAAACTAAGATTGCTAGTTTCAGTACAAAAGCATTTGCCAAAATGAAGAAACTGAGATTGCTTGACCTCGGCAGAGTAGAGCTCAAAGGAGAATGCAAACATCTTCCTAAAGAGTTAATATGGTTGCGTTGGTTTGGATGCCCTTTAAAGTCCATACCAGATGACTTTTTTAATCAACCAAGACTAGTTGTTTTAGAGATGCAGTGTAGCAAACTGGTACAAGTTTGGAAGGGTTCCAAGGTATAATGAATTACACCTGATGATGTTGTGTTTCTATTTGTTTTTTGGATTTCTTCTCTTTTTTTTATAACATCTTCATTTCGGATATTAATTTCAATTTTCTTTTGATTTTCTGCAACAGTCGCTACATAACTTGAAAACCCTTGATCTCAGCTGTTCCAATTCCTTACAGAAATCATCGGACTTTTCACAAGTCCCAAATCTTGAACAGTTGATATTGGAATGGTGTACTAGTTTGTCCGAGATTCACCCCTCCATTGGTCATCTTAAAAGACTTTCTTTGGTGAACCTTAAGTGGTGTTTCAAACTTATTTCTCTTCCAAGGGATTTCTATAAATTGAAATCTGTTGAGACTCTTGCAATTTCTGGTTGTCAATTAATCAGTGAACTGCATGAGGATATAGGGGAGATGATATCACTGAGAACACTTGAAGCAGAGCAAACAGGCATAAGAGAAGTACCACCTTCCATAGTAGGATTGAAGAATCTCACTCGTTTATTAAAAACATCTGCTCCTCCCCTGTCCCCTTCCTCCTCTTCCTCTCCCATCATAATCTCTATCATCTTCTTTTTGGTAGCTAAACATGCTCATTTTAATATTCTCTGCATCCACATCATGAGGACCCTTTTGTACCTCAAGTTACAGCACGATAACATCAGAAATCTTGCAATACAACAACAATACCAATTTTATGATCAGAATATGCTGACACACTGACATGATAATCATCCAAATCAAATTGATTTTGGAGCTGCCGTGCAAGTTCCTCCTCACGACTACTACCTGTACAGGCACCTCCAATTGAACATCTATAATAAATAAATAAATAAGTTAACTAAATGTGTTTCTTGTGTGATTCAAGTATAAGTCCATTACAAACAAAACTTAGCAGAAATTTGGTTTTCCCTCCATTCAAAAAATTCAAGTTTTATTCTGCCACCTTACACCTGCCCCATCTACAACTATATATTCACCACTAGAAATAATTAGTGAACAAATCCAAGTGTAAAAACACCGTCTCCTCTCAGACTCCTTCCCCACAACTAAGTGACATAAAATTAAACTTAATAGTTAATACTACACAAAACCCGGATGCAGCATAGAATAATAGTAATAACAACCTGCAAGCTGGACATGAATGAAGATCCACATTTTGGCCTCGTAGTCGTTGCAGAGCTGCTCGGTTTGTCTTGAGTTCTTTCATCATGGGAATCTGCCTTACGAGTGTTATCTGTCAATTTTTTTATAAAATTTATTCTCTTGCTTTCAAATGTAGGTTCTGCTACCTTCCAACTGATCTAACCTCAGTATTTCAGGCAGCAGCCCACTACTCTTGGAGCTGACATGGGAGTAATCTGCCTATGATTGCATCATGCCCATGAGTTATGCATGCAATTGCAACATTGAGTGGTTGAATATTATGGTAATAGCAACTTGTCCTGCTGAGGAAACCGACTTTTAGCTGCCCCAACTTGCAACTTCTCAAATGGAGGGGGGCGTTACCATCACTTTCCTGTGAAAGCCTTAAAGATAAACGTAAAAAACCTGGAATATTTTTTATTCATCTGCCATTCTTCGTAACTTGATTGAAATTCATATTGAGTTTAGAGAGACACCTAAAAATTCTTATGAAATTCATATTGAGTTTCATGAAAATGTACTTGTATCCAGTGCATAATGGTGTTCCTCTTAATAAATGTCAAAATTAAAAAATGTACTTGTATAACACAAGCAGTAAGTACCTTGGTTCCAGGAACGAGCCCAAGTTTCAAAAGCCGCCTACTACTCTATTCCTCGCAAATGAAATACCACAATTTTCTTTCTCTTCATCTATTTTCTCAGCAACCAAACAGAAAACGAGAAAAATTAACGAGAAATACAGAGAGGTGTGATTTACCTGGAGGACCTTGGAGCCGAGGAGGTGAGAGGACTTTTGGAGCGTAAGCGGGTCGGGCAAGGACCTAGCGGAGATAGATTTGAGGTCCATGTTGGTGAGCTCGGCTTCCACTGAATTCACCACCGTACGCTTGTCGTCGGACAAGGCTGAGTGGAGCAGGATCATCGCCTCCACTTGTTCGTGGTCGCGAAGCACCATCCTCTGGTTCTTAAGGTTTCGATTGCGGCGCCAGAACTCCCTCCATTTTTCAGCGCCTGTTTGCCGCGGCTTTGATTTTGGGGGTTATCTGATTTCTTTTTTTTTTTTTTTTTTTTTTTTTATGGCATCAGAAAACAGCAAATATATGGTATCGTCCAGGGTATTGGTTCGCCTTTTGTGAGAATGAGGGCCAGTGGCCCAAAATTAAAGCCTAAACTGTAATGGACAACCGACAAGGTCAGGCCCATGTGTAGCCTTAAAGGTGATGTTGTATGGGCCAAAATCATAGATTATTAGGACCGAATGCCTATAGGATGAGAGGTCTTAAGCTTAAATTTTATGAATGATAGGTTCGACTTTTATAATGAAAAGGTAAAAATTTAGGTTGAACTAAATTAAATTATAATTAGCTTGGTTTGGTTCAAGTCGAATTAACGTATTAAGAAACTATTAAACCAAAACCAAGCTTAACGATGTTGTTACATTGATTGGTGTATTGTTTAAGACTTGAATTGAATCAAATTGAACCACGCTTATCTCTACAAAGTGAACTCTGTGGATGCAAATTTTCTCCTCTTCGATCTTGGACGATTTTGCACCTACAAAACAACTAGCACCTTAGGTTAAGGCCAAGAGCCTCACGCGCCCACGATGAATGGGGGGGGCTTTGGCCGAAGAACCTCCGATGCCAAAGTTAGAATTTTAGAGAGAAATAGTGTTTAGAATATTTGGGATTTTTTGTAAGAGAATTGGAACTAGTGTTTTGTGAAAATGGGACCCAATTTATAGGAGAGGAAAGGGTGATTTATTTTTGGGGGTTATGGAGATAATGGGCTAGTTATTTTGGGGAGTTATGGAAATAATTGGCTAGTTTATTAGCAAATAGTAATAACCTAATTAACTAGCTATTTGAATGTCATAAAAAGGGGGAGAAAATGGCAACAACAAACAGAAAGTAAAGGGCATGGCCGGCCCTAGTGGGGTTTTGGTTATAATTTGGAGGTTTAGTTGATAATTAAGGGATTGATTAGGTAATTAATCCCTTAATTAGTCAATTTTAGGAAATATGAAAGGAATAAGTATATTATTTAGCTAATTGATTAGCTAAATAATGAAATGGGAAATATATGAATAAATTAGGTTTTAAGTTGATACCTATTTTGGGCACTTTTGACTTGGTTGAAGGATAATTGTATGCTGATTGCACGTAGGAATCCCGGTATACCTCAAGGGTAGTTTTGTCTTTTTTGTCAAAAATCCACGTGTCGCCTTGTGATTATTTTGGCTCCACAAATGCCCCCACACCTGTTGGGCTGCTTGTAGGAAATGGCAACAGGTGTAGAGATTTTCTTGCTTTAGGAAACTTAAGACTGCTTCCTATTTTGATGTTGATTCTCTCTTTAAATGGAAATTAGATCCTTCTAGGAAAGGGAAATAAATTTCTCTCAAAGCCTATTTAATTCCACCTTAAGTGGGTTATTAAATCAACTTTGGAGAGCGATTTATTCTACCCAACAAGAGAGAGAAAGTTAGAGGATATTTGTTCCCCCTCCTCTAGCAATCTTCTACATCTTGCCCGTGCAAAGGACCATCTTTCGTTGATTTCTTCGTCTTCTCCGTGCCGTACCAATGTAAGAAAAATTTAATTTTTCTTGCCTTCTTCTTGGATAGTGTTATTGCAGGGCAGCTGTCGAGGTGGTGCGACACGTCGGCTGGCAGGGGCCAGGAGTTGGCTTGGCATGGGCCGAGGAGATGTCGTGGCAAGGACCACTGCTTGGGCAGCTTGGCTTGGCTTGAGCCAAGGGCTGCTTGTGCGGCTGGGGTCGCGGATTGTGGCGTTGGGATGCAGTGCTAGGCGAGCCGCATGGCTCATGTCCTTTGGGCTCTTGGACCTGACTCGGACCAGGCTGGCGATTGAGAGAAATGAAGAGATTGTGGGTCTCATGGGCTGTTGGAATGTTGGGTTGAACTCCCCTACTGGGTACCACGAATGGTGTTGGCTACTTTAACTATCTTCATCAGGAGAAACATGGGCTGCTCCTAAAATAAGAGGTGAATAGGATCAAGGCGGATGCATTGGTTCGTCCAATCACCGTTGTGGATCCTGCTGCAAGTGAAGGTGGGAAAAGGGATCTTCCATGCCTGCTCAAGAGATGCCGGTTGAGAAAAACCAAAGACTTCTTTCGTTGCTTATGCAAAGTATGAAAAGTTGATTGCTGCTTATAATTAAGTGATCCACTTCAAGAGAATCGTCGATAGGCTTGAACCCCAAGTGTTGGAACTTCAAGGTGTACTGAAGATCAACGAAAATTTGAAGAAAAAAATGGATGAGCTGCAACGCGTCCATGTTGGTATTGGTGAAGTAGTTGGAGAAGTTGGTGCCCAGGCTGGAGCAGTCAAGGGTGATGCTGCTGCTAAGAGCTTCGCGGTTGCTGAAGGTGTGGCGACGGAATAGTCGTGGGATGTCCAGACTGCTAAAGTGTAGTCATCTAGGTAGCCTTTAAGATTTTCTTTGTTTTTCCTTGTAGTTCTTGTTTTGCTTGAACTCCTTCGACCTTTGCTAGTTGTTATAAACATGTTTTCCTTCGCTTTTCTTCATCTTCACTTCTTTTGTTCATGCCCTAACCTTTAGACTTGATAGACCAGTGGCAGGCATGCTACTTTTTTATAAGCAGACAAGCCCGCGTAGCCTATGCAGCCGTAGGTGTTGGTGTAGAACTTTGCAAAGATGTTAGCCATTGGGTTGGCAGCCAGATGCCTTACTTACAGAAGCAGACAAGTCCGCGTAACCACTAGGCTATTAAGCTTGACTTTCTCCAATTCCGTAAGTTGCGCAGCAAGTATCACAACACTTTAAGACTTGGTGTAGGTTGTTCCGCGCTTGGCAGAGGTGAAGCTTATCGACTACGTAGCATGTCGGCAGTGGATAAAACTTCGTATATGCGTGCTAGCTTGTTTAACCTTTCACAAGAATGTGCGGTTGTATAAGTCTAGTGCGGCTTTACTGCTCAAAGGGCAAGCCGTAGGCAGTCTTCCGGAATCCGTAGGCTACCTTAGTGCACTCGGTAGCAGCTTTAAGGTTCCAGGGCAGGCGTCTGTAGGGCGTACTACGTAATGTGCCCCCTCCGTATCTAGGGCCCGGTTTCCCACGGATTAGGCCAAGAGACCCAAAATCCTTCAGTTAGCTAAGCCTTGAAAAAGACCATTGTGGCTACTTCTAGGAATCCCAGCGCAAGCCATCGTGCTTCTAGTTATACTAGGGCAGCCAGGCTCATCCACGTCTGGATATTCAGAGTATAAAGTTTATCCTCCCATCTTGGAGAGCTAACCCATATGGGTGTCGGGGAATTGGTTTACCCTCTCGCACTGAAGAGCATGGTTGGTCCCTCGGGGGGCGCAATTCCTGCGATGAGTCCCTAAGAAGGGCGCAGTCTTCTTTTGAAGTGTAGGAGTGATTAGTTGTTGTAAGCATACAGCCAAGCCAAGTTGTGATTACTTCTAAATTCCTCATTGAAAAACAAGTGAAACGAACGAGAACTTTAGCTGTAAGGTAGGAACTGCATAACAACTGGATAGTCCTCAGCTTGTGAGGTGGTGCCCGTCGAGCTTCTTGAGTCTTCGGGTTTTGATGTAGCGGGAGGTCACACATGGTACTTCCTCAGATTGTAGGCCATCCATTGCTTTTCGATCTTTTTACCGTTTCATGGTGGCGAGGGTGTAATTACAATTGCCGCCTACTCTGCTGATCTTGTACAGACCTTCCCAGATGAGAATCGTCTTTTTGGATCCTTCTCTGCAGGCAGTGATGAGGGCTTTTCTGCGCCGTCGACATGCAAATGCTAGAAGTCTCCATCGGGTGGAGTAGGCGCGGCTAGAGTGTGCTCGGCTACTTCTGAGACATCGTTGGGCCGCTCTGTTGCATCACCTAGGCTCGGCGTGAAGGCGCAGTAGGGAGCTGTGGAGATGGGGCCATGTCATACGCAGCAGGAGATGCTCAACTGCCGGTATTGGGCCACTCTAAAGTTGAATCATTGAGTAAGGGTCGGCTAGGGCCGTGTGGTGCGCAGCAAGAAGTGGTACTCAACTGCCGGTACATGTTGCTCATATGTAGAATCTTTTAGGGTGACGAGGACAAAACTTGATTCTGAGTGTGTCCTTCTAGTGTTGCGTTCGTCAGAAAACTTCACATCCACCGGGGTCTATGCCTTTATCGTCGCGCGTCTGGATTGGGCAGAATAGTATGTCATGAGGATGACTGCATGCATTTGAAAGTAAAACTTGTGCTTCTGGGTTGCAACAATTATCGCCAAAGTTAGCTTTTGAATTTTTAATAGCATCGAGGAAAGCTTTTGAACTGTAGAATACAGGTAGTCGGGCCCCTAGCTCTTCTCACATGATGGTAGAGCTTATTGCTACTTTAGATACCGTCAAACATGCGAATAGGTCATCCGCTGCTTCTAGGAAGGTGATGTCGGGTACTTCTTCAAGTCTTTAAATGTGCATTGGCGAGCCTCATCCCAAAGTGCATGCTTCTCTGCCAAAACAAAAGAGTCTGACAGAGTTAGATCTTCTTTCATGATCAATTTTCTGAATAGCGGGTGGTCTGCCGGAAGTCCTTTTTGGAAGGCTGCTCTAGCTATCGAGTCGTTGCATCTGACTATTTTTGCCTTCTCTACTTTGAACCTCCTCACATAGTCGCGAAGCGACTCCTTTGGGTTCTTCTTGACGTCGAACAAATGGTCAGACTTCTTTTTAATCGAGCGATAGGATGAATATTCTTTGGTGAAAACCAAAGAAAGTTCGTAGAAATTCCGGATGGATTGTGGCGGCAGGGTGTAGAACCAATCTTGCGCCTCGCCTTGTAGATTGGTGGCGAATATCTTGCACATGAGATCATCATTGTTTCGATAAAGGATCATTGTGCTTCGGTAGCGCTTTAAGTGTCTCTCCGGGTCTTCATCCCCTTTGAAAAATGTGAAATGTGGCATGCTGAACTCACGTGGAGGCTCTGCCTGCTCGATCTCGTCCGTGAAGGGTGACCTGCTTATGTTGGTCATGTTCCGTCGTAGTGCCTCGTCGGTGACCTCGTTGCATTGGAAATCATGCAATCGCTTGGT